TCGTCTACCAAGAATTGTGTAGTGTCAATAACTCGAGTTGTTGAGAGAGATTCAGTTATTGATCTTATACTCATTACTAACACACCCTCTGAAACGAAAGTCCTATTTGCATGGGTTTGAAGTTTGCACATATCCTAATATTATGTGCTAAACAAATGGGGATCCTCATGAACAAGGACTTGGCCCAGTCGTAATATCACTAGTCTAGAACCTGGATCAAATCCCTTAAGTAGTACTTTAATTACAAAAAAGTAAAAACCAATATCGTCCTTATAAAATATCAAATGGGGATCCTCAAAGTTCGAACATAAAACTTCTCAATCATCGAAATTCTAAATCATGACAAAAACTATATGGTCTCAATAACTTTTATCAAAAGAGATTCAATTATTAATCTTATATCATTTGCTAACACATTCAGAATTCGACATATAGCCACCATTGCCATCTTCTCTCTAACATTCATCTCTCTCTCTCGATCTCATGCTATCCTTGTTATGGTTGGTTTCTATTTTAGTTTTAATTTTAATTTCAATTTCTGTTTCTGTTTTGGTCCTCCAACTATCTGCATAAAATCAGGTCACATGGTTGCCTTTCTGTATCGATTTGTTTTCATCTTTCGAGTTGGGTGACTCTCTCTTTCACCTCATTTTAGATTCATTGCCAACCAATCTGCTTACTAACAAAGACCGGCAAGTGGGGGTTCTCTCTAGTCTATATACATTGGTCTCCTCCCTCATCATCATCACAATCCTTGTGTAATAAAGGAGAAGATTACCATTTTACCAATTTTCCATGTAGCTAACTATACCATAGTAACTTTTAGAGGTCGAGTCAAGTTGGCTTTGAAAGCCTCAAACACATAGTAGGAGAATGCGAGTTGTGGTGGAGCTACGTGTATTACATGATCTTATATAACGCTCTTTAATATTTTAATAGATTTTATAATAACTGGCGTATAATTAAAAAGTGGTACAATCGTATGACGATATACTATCAGCTATTCATCTCCCTTTTACGTTACTTCCACTTACTTATGTCATTCAATCGAAACTTATAACATAAAGAGAGTCGGCAACCATAATCCTCATATTTCTTTAATTAACTGTATCTCGACAAACTTCACCATTATTTCTCGAACACTATTCCGATAAGTTCTTGACGAACTGAGATGAAAATTTTCAATTGTACTTTCTAACAAGAGTGAAAAAATAATCATAACCTGATTATGATATGAAGTTAATCAGATCGATCTCGAGATCCTCTCTTTGATTATGAATCAACATGATGATCTTGCACATGGCCACTGCCCATGATTTCGATCCATATCTATCTATCTGTATATGGTGCCATATGAAACCCCAAATCTACAATAATTCCGCACCCAAACTTCTGTATCCACCTCATAATGTTTCGTCATTTTTGTAAACTAGCTACATCTCTGTAGATATTATTGATAGGTCTCCTTTCATGTGGACCTATATATATAGATGAATATACATATAATCATGCATAAAATTTCCTTCATTTTTATCTTCAAGATCGATTAAGAGATTACTCAAATCCAGCTTACAAAATTAAAGAGAACAACTTTTTTCACTACCAACCGGCGGGTAACCAACTGGCCTAACTGGGGTATAGTGTATGTATAGGTGTGTTCATATCTAAACTTATTTAGATTTGTGTTTATAAACGTGTCATTTATTTAATTTTGCACTATGGTAAATGGGTGGTATAAGATTTGATCTTGTACTTATCTTCATAACTCGAGTTGTTTAAACTAATTCGTTTTTGAAAAAGTATTGGCACCGAGCCATATTGGTTGAAAGGCCCAGTATTTTAATCTTAGTAAAATCTAAAACATTATAATAATGAGTTCATTTTTGGATGATAATGATTAACTTATATAAACAAAGCTATGATGAGTTCGTGCAATTTTTCAAATATAATGAACTTTCGTTTAAAGGACATACAAGATCTCATCTTATGCTTTTCTTTCGACAACTCGTGGTAATCATCAAATCAAGTACATGAGGAAAATAATAAATATATTTATTTATTTAAAAAAATGAGAAGCATTACGCTAGTGTTTTTCATTAGACATATATTGTATCGGGTCTGCCAATCCTAATGATAAGTACCAAACTCGGAATACTTTATCAATTGTGAAATTATCGTGATAAATATGACATGCATGAAATTTTCATATAGCACCTCAATATAGACCAAACTCGTGGTGAATATTAAGTTCATTTCCGACACATCGCGAAGAAATATTGCACATTAATCCAAGCCATTACATTTTTAATGATCTCATGACTCTAATAATTAACTTCAATGATCTATGAAACACCCACCTTTTATTTTGGATGAATTATGAGACCCAACTCAACCTAAGCAACTAAATTGTTAGATCAGATGAACCATCACAAGTAAAAAGGATACATAAAAGAATGTATAAGAAGAAAAAGATAGTGCCTCTTATTACTTGTACTACAAAGATAAAGACACATATAGTGTCCTATTCATTCTTAGTGGGGAGTGGTAGTACTCCTTCAACTTTTACCACCCAAAAGACATTTGTAGCTGCAATAATCAGCAAATGGCTGATATTTGGTCCAAAAAGGAAGTAAAATTAAGTGCCTCAAATGCTATTAAAAAGACCCCTTAACCTCATTACTTCAATTGGGCAAGTGCCCTTTAAACACCTTTTAACGATTCATTAAGCTTTTTTGCTTTGGATCCCTGGATTAAAGGGTATGAACATAGAATGTCCTTCTAATTATAGGGCAACATACCCTGTATAGTTTAGGACCGACGTACTATCTTCTTTTTCCCAAAACAGCTCACTCTATAATTAGGTCAGCTTCTATGAGTTTGTTTGTTGGATCTTATCTCGCACTCAATGCGGATAAGAATTAATTGATCCCGATAATTCAAGTTATTAGAAAATGTTGCTGAGTAAATCTTATACCATTTCCTTATATTCTTTCTCAAACGAAAATCAGTCTATGAACTTGATCTTCAAAATGTGTGTTTAATTTCAATTATCAGGTAGTTTTAATTAAGCGAGTTGCTTGTAAAGGTTATGAAATAATCCCATATCATTTTCTTACAAATGCCACCTTGTATCGATGGAGGAAATTCTCAACTTCCACTTAGATTATCTCCCTTCATATTAGTAAGTTAGTATATGATTTATAATTGGAGAACTCCCAATAACTCGTGTTATTGGGATCAATTGGTTCTTCACACGGTATCAGAGTCTTCTGTCTTCTGTTCAAATCTCGTGGAATCCCGTTTATTGAGTATATAATGTTCGGATTTGTGCAAACTTCAAACTCATATACATTGACATTGACTTTTGTTTGAGGGGTGTGTTAGTAAGTGATATATGATTGATAATTGAATATCTCCCAACAACTAAAATTATCGGAATCACTAAACTGATAGCTTAAATATATAAACCAGTAGTTTAGTGACCATCATATATGCATATAGAGTCACTCTCTCACTGCATTATTATATTATGCTTCCCTTCTGTCGCATTGTAATAAACGTGAAGGATGAACAAAAGGAACGCCACTAGTCAATTACTTAAAGCTTCGTCTTGAACTAGGTTTAATATAATTTAGGTGGCCTTATAAAAAAAATAATTTAGGTGGCTAATCAAGTACATCAATAGATAATTGGTCATTAGCCATTCCATTAGTGTAGCAAAACATTCCTAGTCTGCAAGTTAGAGTCTAGAGGAATGTTGTTTTAGAATATAATCACATGCTTTCGAGCTCATATTCCTTGGATTAAACCCATGACTACTATAATCATAATTAACACAAAGATGAAAAAGCAACAAAGAGTCTAAGTATGACCTAGTTCATACTAGTTCTGATATCGTTTTATAGCAAATATGGATTTTGAAGGACAAGAAGTTTGGTCTAGCGGGTTAAGAAAATTTTCGTTGTTGAAGAAGGTCAAGGTCAACAAACATGTTGTATTTAGTATTGTTCAAGGAGAAAATAAAGTTAACTGAAACATAGGGGAAAACAGAAAGCTTATTCTAGGAAACACATATAGGTCCTTCCATCAATCCCATCAAAGACGTGAAAATCTTCAGTGCATCAATGTTAGTGAAAATTATTGTACAAATACATCATTTTCTCTACTGAATACCCAATAGAATTACAACTAGTTATTAGTTAACATGTAGCCCCCCAGTGGCAACTGAAGGAAATTCACAGTCAAAATAAAATAAATTCTCTACAATATTAAACTATATTGGATTCATCTATTTGTAAGGTAGTTTTGCCAACTTGCAACCTTTGGCAGCACCTTGATCTCTTCACGTGAACTGGTTTTTCTCTCTACCTAGCCAGCCAGTCCTTTTCATTTCCTTCTTTTTTCATTTTTTTTGGTTAGGGCACAATAGTCCTAAAACAAAAGAGAATGAGGAACCAAAACTTTGGATCGAAATTGATCGATACGAATTTGATCGAGTGATTATGGAACTAGATTTTATACTCTCATAGTCATAAACAAACAACAGATTTCAAATCATGTGATTAACAAATGAGCTCACAGTTCGCCAGGTTGTCTCTTGCCTGCCCATAGATTCTGCAACACTTTGAAAGGTTGACCTATTCGGGAATCTCCGGATCTACGCTTATTTTCAACTCCCCGAAGCATTTCGTCGCTTACTACGCCTTCCTCGTTTGTGGGTGCCTAGGGATCCCCGAGCTCAACAAATATTACATTACACGCTGAATTCAAACCATTTTTAACCAAGAATTAGTGAAATGGGATACCATCATATTTTCCCAACTTCCTTTTTCACTCTCTCTCTCTCTATTCCTCACTCTCTAAAATCTAGTATATATAAACACATGCACTCACTCCCTCTCATTGTACACCAACCCTCTCCATTATTCCTTCATTCACCAGGAGAAAACCCCATAACCCCAAAAAATGGAGACCTCCAAATCCTCAGCTCTCCTCCTAATCTTCATGCTCTTCCTCTCCTCCGCCACTCCCATCCTCTCCTGCGGCCACTGCGGCGGGAAACCTCACCCCAAGCCCAAGCCCAAATCCCCTTCCAAGGGCGGCCCAATTCACCTCCCAAAAGTCCCGCCGGTCACCGTCCCCAAACTCCCCCTCCCACCGGTCACCGTCCCCACCGTCCCACTCCCCAAGCTCCCCGTCCCTCCGGTCACCGTCCCCACCGTCCCCATCCCCAAGCTCCCCGTCCCTCCGGTCACCGTCCCCAACGTCCCAATCCCCAAGCTCCCCGTCCCTCCGGTCACCGTCCCCACCGTCCCCATCCCCAAGCTTCCCGTCCCCAACCTACCCATTCCTCCGGTGACCGGCGGGTCCAAGTCGCCGCCGGCCGCCTGCCCGCCGCCGCCGGCGAAGAAGGAAATCTGCCCAATCGATGTCCTGAAGCTGGGAGCCTGCGTGGACCTGCTCGGCGGGATCGTCCACATCGGGCTCGGGGATCCGGTGGTGAACAAGTGCTGCCCGGTGCTCGCCGGACTCGTGGAAGTCGAGGCTGCCGTTTGCCTTTGCACTACGCTGAAGATCAAGGCGTTGAACTTGAACATCTACGTGCCTCTGGCTCTTGAGTTGCTCATTACTTGCGGGAAGTCGCCTCCTCCTGGCTACACTTGCTCCCTTTAGGGTTTCGAAGGTATGTATACCCTACAAGTTTCGGTACAATGATGATAACCCAAAATTTTCTAGGGGGTACGTAACGTATATGTGGTCCATATAAAATATTTCCTTATTCACTGAATTTTCAGCCAATTGTTCTAAAAAAAATTTCATTCTAGTCTAGCTAGCGGGTAAAATCTAGTGTTGATGGATTTTCGTTGGGTGCGGGTTTTATCAGTTTTTGAAATTGACGGGTTGGGTCGGGTTTAGTTTTTGTCCAAAATCAACCCCGCTTTGTGCCCGATGCATGCTCATAAAGTAGAAATGATGTCATTTTGTATCTAATCAGAATAATATGAATGATTAATGTGTGTTATTAGTGTATATGACAAGATAAACCTAATAATATGAATAATTTATGGATGTTGGCAGTTTTTAGGGATATATATATATATCTATAGGAAATTTTTTGATAGCATTGTCATATGGGGTTTCGAAGAAATATGTACGATTATATTCGTGAACCCATAAGCATCCAGGAACCTGTTGGGTTTGATTGGATTTTCATTTTTAAAACTCAATGAGTATTTTACTGGATTTTTTAATTGGTGCATCCGCTGGATTGGGTTTGAGTTTAGAGAAACTCGACCCGTTTCCTTCCCTACTCCCTTCAAATCCCAAATTCTAGTTAGAAATACACATATAACTTTTCAGAATGAAGATCAACTGTAGAACTACTAGATTAAGCCGCTAAGATATTTATGTATTATAATATATGGTTTTCATGCATATGGTGATCTCTGTTTATGATAATGCAGCCGCTGCAGGCAGCTGATGAAGGTAGTGACATGGATGGATGATTGAATTACTCGACATGAGAGGATGTCGGGCATTCTCTCTCTTAATTTATCTATTCTCTCTCTCTCTATGGTTTTTCTTCTCTCTCTATTTTCATTATTATGGCAAAGGGGGTGTGGTTGTATTTCGAATGGGGTTTTGAATTGGCATTGAAGATGTTTGGATTCTAATAGTGTGTAGACCATTTGTTGTTATATGATTTGTTTGTTTGCATGGTGTGTGTGGGGTTTTGGTCTGTCTTAGAGAAGCAATTTGAACCAAGAGAGGACGACACATCTTTCTCCATCTTCCTTGTCTTTGTGTATCTGATTGTCACGATACAAAAGAAACGGAACATCTATCGTGTTAGATTCTCATCAAGATAAACTATGAGCAAGGAGTTGAACACAAAAGTCGACATGCTTTTCCGAGCACATCACGAAAAGTTGTACTAAGTTTCCAAAAAACTTTGATAGTGATATCTTATTTTCGATTGTTAAGAGTCAAGTCTGAAATCTTTAATTATTTCGATCGATCTATAGAAAAGTACAATTAACAACGGTAAAAGGATTGGTTTCAACGTCCTGTTTTCTATTGTTACATATTTCTGGAACGATGACTGTAGAATTCATTTTTCGGGCCCTGATAGTTAGCCATGCATCAATACACATTAAAATAACAATTTGAGATGTGAAAAAAAACTGTTGATTAGTCCATTTTCCTTATCTCTCACGCAATCCTTCTTCTGCTACTTACTTCTTAGCAATCTCAATAAGAGCATAACATTACAAATCCTCAAATGGTGTTGGCTCTTCTTTGAGAATCGAAACAACAATGGCACAGTGATTTGTAAGAGGTGACTTTGGAATAGTTATTACTAATTTTCATGGACATAGTTGTGATGAAAATGCTGGTAGAATTGTTCGTCTTTGATTGAGGTAAATGCTCATGCTCTCTTGAAACCGTGTTGACTAGCAGATACTGACAATCATCGGCGGATCCAAGACATAGTAGAGCATTGGACAACATTTAAATGGAATATTAGATACCGTAAACAAAAATATATAATAACTATAGTTTACATTATAATGCCAATTGTACAAGACGGTCTTTTAATTTAGCAAATCCAACAAAAATAGTATCACCATCCATACCAATAGCATACTCTTTCTCAAGGACGAAGAAGACGATTTAAGAGAACATATATCACAAAAAAAAAATAAGATTGGTCTAGAGGTAATACCACTAGTCTTGAACCTGGAGGTATGAGAATCAAGTCCCTTAAATAGTATCTAATCACAAAAAAAAACATATATTACCCTTATCTAAAAACGTAGCACACAAGCAATCCGTAGCTTTTTTCTTTTCCCCCCATTTTTTTGAAGTAATTTTATACTTCAAAAAATTCAAGTCTAACCAAACACCTCTACATGTTCGACTTTTGAAAAAAAAGATTATTCTTTTAGATTTTTAGTTTTTTTCCACAAAACATATTTTTTCTCATTTGAAAAACTCTTCTCATTTGCCTTGCTCGGAACTTTCCTAGTAGTAGTAAGTTGTTGGATCTTCAATCTTTTGAACACGTAGCACACAAGCAATAAGTAGCTTTTTTCTTTTTTCCTCCATTTTTTATAAGTAATTTTATACTTCAAAAATTTGAAATCTAGTCAAACATCTCTACACTTAAAAAAAAAAGATTATTCTTTTAGTTTTTTAGTTTTTTTCCACAAAACATATTTTCTCTCATTTGAAGGACTCTTCTCATTTACCTTGCTCAAAACTTACCTAGTAAGTTGTTGGATCTTCAATCTTTTGCTAATGATCTTCATGTGTAAAAAAACAGTAGTTACATCTATATTCATCCATGCATGGATGAAAATCTTTAAACTAAGAATATGCTAGACATGAGCTTATGTATTAATAACTATGACTAGCTAGATATACTTAAGTTACAAAGTAGTAATGACTCTTTTTTGCTCCTACAACACATTGTCAAGCTGCTTTTGAGGGTTTTAACGAGTGTCAAGGAGCTTTGTGGATGGGTCGGGTGGGGGCCAAAGTGCTTCGTGTTTTCAGTTTGGTTGAGAAGAATTGGACTCTCAGATACACTGTCGACGTCCAAGTTTACATGATGTACAAGTCTAGCTCAGCAAGAGAAACTTTGTTGTATTCACCAAATGAGTTGCATTTTCGGTGTATGCATCCACATGATGTGAGGATGGCATATGTGACTTTGAAGAAGTTTGTGTTGCAGTGCAACATGGATGTTCACAGTCATAGCAGAGAATAAGAAGAACGTGGGGTGGAGCAATGTTTTGCCGTTTCAGCTTCTTCATTGGCCTACAACTTGTTCTATGCTGGGACCTCTTGAGGGATAATAGGTAGATAGAGGGAAAAGAAATGGAGGTAGTTCATATTTAAAAACTAGAAATTTGTGTCTGAAAAATTGTATGTACTTGTGTTTTCGTGATGACTTTTGACGGAGTCATGTATAGTTCTGAGTGCAATAAATAGGGCTCCATAGGTGTCTCTACAGCTTTTCAATTTGATTTCCCTCCAAGTTCAAAGCTCGTCAGTCCAAGTCGCTCTCTCTCTCTCTCTCTCTCCTTTCTCTGAAACGGGTCAGATCTTTGCTATCTTGCTCGCCCAATTTCTGGCTACCTCCTATCCCGACTCCATGAAAGGTTCTACTCTTTTTTCTGTTATGATTTCTCATTTTCACATTGGACTTTGATCTCCCACAACTGGAAGCAATTCTCTTTTGTTTATCACTTCTCTATGTTTTTCGTTTTTTCCTGTGTTGGCTCTAAAAATAAGTTTTTCCTTAACTAAATAATTTGACAAGCTAAAGGAAGTATTATCACTTTTCATCGTCCCAATTAATTATTACATTTTTATTTTAAAATTATTTAAGAAATAAAAACCTTAAGAATAATAATCTTTATTACAATTTTATAAGTATTTGATTAGAGCTATCCACTTAGCACATTCTCTCATTAATTTTCAATACCCTAACACTACTTAATGATATGTATATTTTTCATTTCAATTTAAAATTTATATATTTTGGCATAGAAAACTATATTTAATGTGATTTGCAAAATCATATTTATTCATATATTATTTATATTAAAAAAGTATCCTTCTAAAACATGGTCACATTCACGTATTCGGTTTCTTTACATTAATGATACATAAGTACACCAAAATAGTATGAAATTTGTACAATCTTTGTATATTTGTGTACCCTTTCGTTACTAAATGGTGTGCGTCTCTTTCATTCAATTTCAAAGTTATATATTTTTCATAGAAAATTTATATCTTATGCGATTTAAACATTAATTTTAGTTCTTATATGGTTTAATATAAAATCTTACCCTTCTAAAAAACATTGTCGCAAACATGTGTTAGGATCATTTGTGAAAATAATACATAATCACAACAATATGGTATGAAATTGGTAAAATATGGGTTTAATTTTTTGTACATTAATAGAGTACAACTGAAATCATTGTGATATTATTTTTGTACCACAATAATATTCGAAAGTCTCATCCGCGTGATAACATTCCTGATAGACTTGCATTTTTCGTTTGGTTTATAATATTTATAAATCAAATAAAAGATATAAATAATCAATAACGGTAAGTTTGGAGCCAAGACTTGGGAATAAGTATATTGGATATCTCTGGTTTGCTTTTACAAAAAATAACTAGTAAATATTAGTAGTTGTTAGTTGTGTTGTTGTATTCTATGTTGTTAATTGGGCAACCATTGTGTGGGTTTTCATATTTTTTTGGATTATCTTTATCACGAGTTTTGCTTTCCAGTTTCTTTTATAGATTAGTATGCATACCATAATAACTTTACACTGCTCACGAGCACCCCTATCTTCGAGGTGGTAATTTTTTCTCATATTCCAATGAGATTCTCACTATTGAAGGTCATCAACGTGAAAACCAAAATTTTATTTGATCTGACAACTCAATAAAGAACTCGGATCTCCAATCATGTTTATGGGAAGTGACTCGCAATCGATT